TGCGTCTCTCAATAGTAATAAATTTTCTCCGTTTTTAGAAACATTCTTCATTGATGCTCCGCTCCTATTGGTCTTAGCGTGATGATATATAGCCTATAGCCTTCCTCGATAAATGGGCTATCTAACACTGAAAGATTTTTTCAAATCGGACCAGTAGTTCCTGAGATTAGCGCGTTCAAACAAACAAACAAACAAACAAACAAACAAACTCTTCAGCTTTATAATATTAGTATAGATTTTTATTATTAACACCGGTTTTCTGTGAGGTTATGGTATCACTCCGGTGGAGCCTGCTTATATGTGCTAAAACATGGCTTTTATTTACTTAATTTACGGCAAAAGAGGCAGACAAGCAGGCGGGTCACCAGATGGAAAGTGACTACCGCCAAGGAACGCCTGCAACTCAGGAGTCACAAACGCGTTGCCGGCCCTTTAGGAGGGAGTACGCTCTTTTTTTAAAGATTTCATTGTCGTATCGGTCTGGAAATACCGTAGACGATAACTTGTTCCATCCTTCCTCGCTGTTTAGACCTTCCATCCTGAATCCACGGTGATCTCTCTGCACTGATGCACCGATCTATTAATGAAGGCATAGCTCTGTAAAAAGAGATATTTGAATTTATCTGATGGCATACATACATCTTAGTGCAATAAATTAACGACCGATCTCGGTCTTCTGTACTGGCGAGGTGCCAGCGCTGGTGTACACTGTGATTTAGACACGCGGAGCGGAACGATTATAACATCCGTTGTATAATAATAATATTAAACTTTTTATTTCAGACCATGGTATCCAATTATATTTGTATATCCAAATATAAGTATTATACATTCTAAAGTACAAGTTTTTAGCATTGTCAGATATCAATCCAAATCGTAAATTATAGCTGAGCTGATAGTGGGTGAACCATGCTTCAGCGCAAATTGCTCAGCTCAAAACAAATGACACCACGTCCTCACAAGAAACATATGTGAAGCAATTCTTCCGTATCTTTTTACCGATTGAATGATGTTGCTGTCATCCAAACACCCCCCTCCCCCACTCAAAGTGCTCTAACACTTGTTGAGTTTAAGTTGAGGCGTTCGCTTTCCACCATCTGACCCACCCGCTCGTTTGCTTTCTACATCATAAAAATATATCTAAATCTTAAGCGTTATCTTAATATTATATCCTAAATAATAAATTGAAAAATATTCTTCTCGTTTCACTTGTCAATGCGTTCTCTCCCTGAGCTCCAAATGGACCTAAAACCGTTCCTATGTTACGACCGCTATCAACGTAGATATTATGCAAATGTATGCAAGTAAATCGTAGTGGATTACTACTGGTGAACCTCGCCGAGACCGAGATAATCTTCAGGAATGTAGAGATTTGGTACCTCGATGTGACCTCAATATCAAGATAAATATAATTGTGTTAAACGGGAATAATCGCGATCATGATAAGTATTAAGTACGTAGTGTAAGAATATGGAGTGTTACCACCACTGTTCATCTCGAGGCTGTCAGCCCTAACAGCCGACTAAGTAAGCACTATGCAGGACAACAGCACTTCAAAGAGAAGGAAAACTTAACACAAATCTTACACCAACCCGTCTGGCCAGCGTGGTATAGTAGGCCAAAACATCCTTTCTAAAGAGAGGCCTACATCCAACAGTGGACAATTTAAAGGCTTTTGATGATGAAGACATATTTTTGGAATGCCTGAGTAAGCCTGTGACAACGGCCAGGCCAGAGCTGGTCAAAACTTTAGTTATTTCAAAGGTTTTTACTTAATACCTATCACGAGCGCGTTACTTCTTGTAAACACAGTTATTAATTATGGAACGTGATAGTTTAAAGCTCAATATCAAGAATTTATGGTGTGCTGTATTATTTTTTTGTATTTGTGGGCAGTTCTCTTTGAGTAATTTGAGTAGTCAAGTAGTATGTCCGGTTCCTATTGTTTATCTTCACAACAAGGTGGTAACATGTATTTAGTGTATGTGCATATCGCAATGAATATTTTACAATTTCAACAGCATTTGTCAATAACAATAATAGTAACTCAACACATCAGTCTAATCCCAAACTAGGCAGAGCCTGTGCTATGATGACCAGCTCGCCGATACTTTAATATTTCTAAATACATAGTAATACATACATATATGTATGCACGTATCTACATATATAAATTACACCTAGATACAGAACAAATGGTCGTGCTCATCACACAATATTTGTCCTGGGTGGGAATCGAACCCACGACCTCCGATTTAGCAGTCAGGGTCACTAACCACTTGACCAACAGGCCCGACAAATAGTAGAGAGAGAGTAGTAGTAATAGAAATAGTTCGATCTGAATTATTATCGATTATATTTAAAAAGTGTTGACATAAAATTACTTTAACTGACTGCATTTTTTTCCGATAGAAAAGAACAAATCTGTTAGTTTCTTCTTCTTGTTCTTCTTTGGTAGCATATTGGTAACATATTTTACCCTTAGTGTTACATGTAGCATTTAGAACTGAAAGTAGTTCCTTGAAACACCGCTAAACAAGCTCCACTAAAACAACCACATATAAGCTGAAATTGGCACGGCTTGTGTAAACAATAAACAGATACAGTCATTTGTGGTAGTTTCAATGGAATCCTGTTAAACTGGTACAAATTGGATTCTAGGTACACTACGACAAACGTAGACTTACGCGAACCGCAGTTACCAAAATGTGCAAATAAAATGTTATATGTGTATTTAGTTTACAAGAGCGAAGCAAGTTATGGTCATTGAAATATTTATATATCATCGTAGAATCACACTCAAAGAGCGTTGTAACTGAAAGCCCAATTCTCTCTCATCCCAGTGCTCCTCCTCTCTGTCAAGTGACTTAGGCACTCTTTAAGGCTCTTAGGCACTTAGTCACTCTAAGGCTAAGGACTTTAAGGCCAACAACTTACAGGTATCTAGTAATAATAATAATATTTCGGACATTTAACTCACAACGCCCACAGAGGTTGTGCTACGAAAGCCAGATTGACTGTTAGAGTACTATTATATTTTTTTTGGAAATACATATCCATAGAAAACACCCAAACTCAGAAACAAATATTTGCAGATCATATAAACATTTGGTCCATCGAACCAGAGACCTCAGTACAGCAGTTGCATACGCTACCACTGCCACTACCACTTGGGAAAAGGGTAGGCAGATGATGAGGTGACCACTTTATTTGTTTGTCGTATAACATAAAAAAAAAATAAGTTTACAGTCATTTCGTAATAGAATTCGACAACACGATTTCTATATTGGTCCCCTATCTATGTTAGTAAAGCCGATTATCTGTAATATTTAAGGGTGTCCTAATAAAGAGGTTGTAATTCCTGTATATCAATCAATCAATTTATTTATTGTTTGTTACGGGTATATAACGGGTTCTTATAAAAGCATTAGGGACATCCGTAAAATGCCAATATCACGCGTAAAATATATTTAACAAAGTCAAATAATAAAAGTACAAAAAAGAGAAAAATAAAATTCAGTTTATAAGAAATACAAAGTCAATTAAAATTTGATTAAAGTTTGTTGTCTCAGTTTCATTAATTATGTCATAATTAAGCAGTAGAGTATATTATTATAACCACACAAAACTATTTACATAAATGTATAGCTTTGATCTCGGCTTCCCTTACGTTAAAATTATACTTTTTCTATCGTAAAAGTTCTTTTTTTAGACAAAAACGATATTTCATATGTAAACGTAGTTTTCATTCAAAACTCTGTGTGAGTGACAACGTGATTACAAAATTTAATGATGATCGGGTCTGTAATTTAGGCGTTAAAACGGAAAAACAAACAAACAAATACACTTAGACGCATTAATAATGTTAGTTAGGATGTTCATGGATACTTCAAGGTATGGTAACATCTACAGAAGCCGGAGCTTGTACGGAGTTTATTCTGGCACAAGTGCGCGTACACCCGTATTAATTAGTATGATTCATTCAGGTTTTGTTTTGCAATTCGCTGAAGTCTTGAATAGATAAAATGATTTCTGTGTCTCTTTATTAAGTCTTCGTTTTTCCTATTTTTACTCTTATTCTCTTTTCAAAAAATTTTTTTTAAGGAGAGTTATTTTAAATCAAACTACCATGGTTTTTTTTATCTTGAAAATAATAATGTACCACATTCACACAACGCCATCTAGTCCCAAAGCCCCAACGAAGTATATATATATATATATATATATATATAAATATATATATACTTCTTTTTCTAAATACATACTTATTACATATAAAAACACCCAGACTAAATCAAACATGAAATGTTCAGACCCACAAATGTTTGACTTGAGCGGGAATCGAACCCGCGACCTTTGGAATAGCAGTCCGTTACACAAACCACTACGCTATCCGACCGTCAAAGAATCAAAAAGATATTAGAAATGGGGTAATTATAACAAAAAATGTTCATCTCTCTAGCATCAATGACAAAATCATTATCATGATCAGCATATCGCAGTCCACTGCTGGACAATGAAGAAATAGACACTAACTCCGGAGTTTATATCCGAGAATTAATGTTCGATATTTCGTAAATATCCCGTTTATATTGACTTATTAAGCGAGATATTTGTTCAAAAACTCGTAAACCAAAGTTAAAAATAACAAAACTAATAAACTCAAGGAAATAATGATCACTTTGAAGCCCTTAATTAAAAAATGTATCCTTCAGTTTGAAGCCGTATCTATCTATAAACATAAAGGTTACCTATGAAAAGTAAAAATCATACATTTCGTTTCGGTACAGAAACTCGTAGCGCCTAAAAAAATGGAATAGCAAATCTATTATATGTAAGTTGATTGTTGTAAATACGGCATTACACAGTAGAGATCAACCATTTCGAGTCTATAAATACATATAGTTTTATTTAAATGACAGTTTATACAGGGACTGAAGTCGAGGAACGTCCATGTCCGTATCTTCTTTTCTATTAATGGTTGTGCGGCTTTGTTCCAGGTGAACGGCATCGTGCTGCATGGAAGATGTCATCTCAACGCGTCAGCCATCATCAAGGGCCTCGTTGGACCCATATTCAAGATAATACTGCTCAGGTATAGTTTACCTTTAAAGTATTTTTTTTTTCATTTCAAATAAATTATTTCGTTTAAATTAAAAGTCCGTGTGGTGACGGATTAAGAATACGAAGTGTCACGAGTCCTATTCATCCCGTGGGTGTCTTAAGAGCCGACTAAGGGAACAAACTACGCAGCACAATAGCACTGCAAAGAGAAGGTAAACTTAAAACAAACCGTACCAGCCGGCCAGCGTGGTATAGTAAGCCAAAACCTCCTTTCTAAGGAGAGGCTTATGTCCAGCAGTGGACTATAAAATGCTGTCGATGACGATGATGGTATATGTGAGTATTTGTTTGGCACGCGTCGTAGCCTAAACGACTCGATGGACTTTGGCATAAGAGGTGTCGTTAGATTCGACTGTGAGAGTGACAGAAAAATTATAAAAATTAAAACCGCCGGTTTGTAAATATTAAATTTAAATTTTTGGTATATATCACAAAAGTTACACCCATTAGAAAATCATATATTACGGCTCAGAAAGCGGCTCCGTATGGTGACGGATTAAGCATACTAAATGTCACCACCCCTATTCATCCCGTGGGTGTCGTAAGAGCCTACTAAGGGAGCAAACTACGCAGGACAACAGCACTGCCAAGAGAAAGAAAACTTGAAACTAACTAAACTCGTCTGGCCAGCGTGGTATAGTAGGCCAAACCCTCATTTCTAAGGAGAGGCTTATGTCAAGCAGTGGACTGTTATAGGCCGTTGATGACGGCTCAAAAAGCCATTGAAATCAAATTCATGCTTATGTAGAAATGACGTCACATAATACCTTAAATCAATCAAATCAGACAAATACCGTCTTAGTTCCAAAACAGCTTATCTCCAACATCATTTAGATATTAAAATACCTTTTAGCTATTCACATCTCGCTTCCTCAATTTAGTGAAGCACAAAGTATTTGGTTGATTTAACGGCCAATTGGGAATCAGTGGGGGGCGGGCGGCACATAAAGAATCGTATAGAGCCCCATTAAATGGACAAAGGCTACTTCTAAGACGCCATCACAATGATGTTGGGAGACTGGAAGTGATAAGAGAAATATGATTGATTTTTAATGAGTCATCATTACAAGATAAGGCAAACTGAATTCCAATTTAAAAAACAGTAGTACTCCGGGAGTGCCGACAGAAAAGAAAACTAGTTTTTTATTTTTTTTATTTTAACAGTAGGTAAACATTTTTGTTTTTGTCGATTCGAGAAGTTCCGACATGCATATACAATCTATGTTCTACGTATATACACAATATTTGTTTATATAGTTATATTATCAATGTATTTCCACCCAAACTCAACTCTCGTGTAAACGGGCCAATGTATGCAAATACTCATACACGGATGTGTCGGTGAACAGCGGCGCGAGATCAATGGTTTTTCCCATCTCAAAAAATACTTTGTTTTGTTATTCAAAATTTCCCAACGCGCCTAAAGAAGTTTTCACTTCAAAAATTAAAATAGCTTGTTATAAACTATTGTAATATATTCTAAACTTGGGAGTGATACGACAGCCTCACAGAAAACCAGTGTTAAGCTAGTATTTTGTTGCTTTTCACTGAGTGATTGAGGTTACCAGAGGGCCGACTGCAAGTTTGTTTCACATCGACTAGATCTCGGCAGTGAGCGCGTTTAGAGTTGCGATTGGTGAAGATTTCAGTGCGGGCCAATCGTAGCGCCGAACGCGGTCGCCGTGACGATCGAGCAGAAGTGAAATAAACTCGCAATTGGCCCTCGGACCTCAAAAGCCCCCCTTCCCCGATTCTGAGACCCAAAAAGGCGGCTATGCACTCGGACTCTTGAGTTGCAGGAGCCCATGGGCGGCGGTAGTCGCTTACCATCAGGTGACGTGTGTGCTTTCACGCATAAACCATTAAACCAATTTTAGAAATTCTTCCACCAATTGAAAGCTACATTAGCAGCGAGTAGCATAGGCTACTTTTTAAAACGCGAGCTAAAACCAAGTCTTTTAAAAAATAGAGTTCTATTCTGTTATGTAACACCAACTGACATTATAGTAATGTTACCACATCTGGTCCAGTTTTACATCTAGTTTTGGGCAACAAACCGTTATATTTTCATTAAGACGACTACTTGAGTGTATCTGGAGCCCGTCGTCTGCAGTACTCAATCTATTTATCTTGCCTCGAACACCAAGTGACGTGAGTTGGGTTTGGGATCTTGGTTTTATTCCTTGAAAAGGATTCCATGTCAAAATTTTGCGATTTCTCTTTGTTTATAAACAAACGGTTAACGCTAAAACACACTTAGTATCTAATAGACTGGCTTTTGACCGCAACTGCGCTCATACTAAAATCGATTTTGTCAATTATTTTTTCTGGAATAAAATATATGTTATGGGTTACTCCAGACTATAATCTGTCACTGTGCGTTTTATGTTGATCGGTTCAGCAGTTTAGCGCGATATTACGAGTATAATGGTAGTAACACAACGGTGGTAGTGCAATGTTACGGCACCTGGCGGTGGAACCATTGAATCGATTCCTGCTTTATGCCAATTTATTCTGTGTGTTTCTACATGACATAGGTAGATATACTTAATTATTTTTTTACTCTAGTATTTATAAGCTGACTTATTCTGATTCGTAGATCTGTAAATTCTTCTTAAGCAAAATTTCGCGATGATGGAGGAATGTAATATTAAATTATTTATTTATTTGTACATCATGCACTTTTGATGCGTTGGCGGACTTAATGAATGAGGCATTGTCTACAAGTCAACCTTTGGGTGATGCAGAGAGAACAGGAAGTAGGTGCATGTTGGTTAGGGTTTGTTCTTGTTCTTTGTAGTTATAATATCAAAACGCGTACATAAACCTATATCTAATTTAGATACTAGACCACGGATAAACATTCTTAAATACGTTTTTATTACAAAGTAGCTGACCCCGCAAAAGTTGTTTTGCCAAATACATTATTTAAAAAAAATGACAAAAATAATAATAAATTAGGTGTATGAAAAATAGATGTTGGCCGATTCTCAGACCTACCCGATATGTACACAAAATTTCACGAAAATCGGTCGAGCCGTTTCGGAGGAGTTCAACCACGCACACCGTGACACGAGAATTTTATATATAAGATAACTATACATTCGTGCTGTGATATCAATACTTCGAGCATCAAACCCCAACCTCTGATGTTACTGTCGAATGCATACGACCGACTCACGTAGCTCTTCGATAGCATATAGAAGCATGGCCGGACGGCATAGTGGTTTGTGTAACGGACTGCTATTCCAAAGGTCGCGGGTTCGATTCCCGCTCAAGTCAAACATTTGTGTGCTTGAACCTTTAATGTTTAATTTGGTCTGGGCGTTTCTATGTATAATATGTATGTATTTACAAAAAAGAAAGTTTATATGTATTTATATCAGTTGTCTAGTAGCCATAGTACAAGCTCTGCTTAGTTTGGGACTAGATGGCGTTGTGTGAATGTGGTAGAATATTATTATTAGTATTATTATTATTATATATCTGTTACATTAGAAATAACCTTGGAAGAAATCACATCTAAAACTAGTCAGAGTTTCCAATTTTACGAACATCGTATCCAAACCAGCTATATCTAGTAAAGGTCAGACAATAATTTATGTCTTGACCTTCTCAGATAAGAAGGAAAATATGACTAATTCAATTACGACTAATTTCTATACTCAAAATACTAAGGTTATAAGATATAGGTTATAAGATATAGATAAGTATAATACTAAGGTTATAAGGTAGGTAAATCGGTGATAAGTAATAGGTAGCCGTAGGAGAGACATGCGTCGGTACTATTGGGACAGCTCGACCGGGTCCAGGACCAACCAGGTCTCTTTAAACTACTGCAGAATCAATCCAGTTTTGCATCAGGACCTCGCGATATCTTAACTCCCTCCTGACCCTATCTCCCTCGTTCTTTAGGTTTTCTTTGCCCCAATTTACTTTCTTCCTTTGTCCCATCTGAATATGAGCACATACCCTAGGAAGGTCAGCATCAGGTAATTCACCGGTCACAAATCACATTTTTATAGATTACTCCGACCTCAAATAGGATTCTTCTTCTTTAAATGACTCTCCGATTAGCGCAGGTTGGCAGTCAGCCCTGCGTACTCTTTCTTGCTTTTGGCGAAAAAGATCGGCAGTACTCGCTATTCTAGTCCATTTCCAATGTCAGAGGGTCTCGAATATAAAAGTTCTGAGAAGCGTTAGCCAGAAACGGCAACTTTTAGAGACCGTCAAATACGCTGGTGGACAAAAAAAATAGGCCACCTCTATTTTTATGTTTCATTCATTAATTTTCAATCTTAGTAGAGGTAGTATTGATAAAATTATCAAGTGTAAATGTGTCAAATGTCATTTAATCAGTTTTTAGAGACCCATACTTTAGTTCTTTTATATTTAATATCCTGTCGCTAGGACGCTATTTAAAAATATCATTAAATTCGTATTACTGGTTTAAGTTCTGTGCCTCCCACTTCCTTTTTACTTATAAATATGGAGCAGAAGTTGTTCGAATCGTAACGTTGTTACAAACTGGAATGAGCCTGGGTAATGTCGCTCGACATGTGAAGTTAGTCGATGAACGGTTCAATATGTCTTCAAAAGGTATCTGGAGACCGGTGGTTACATCAGAAGACTTGGATCAGGCCGAAGGAGAAAGACACCTGAACAGGATGATCGATTTATATTGTCAGCAAGCCTCAGAAATCCTTATCGTTCTGGAGTGGAATTGCAGCAACTGCTCAGAGATGTCCGAGGTGTTGCTGTAAGTGATAGGACAATAAGAAGACGCCTTGAAGAACGTAGTTTAAAACAAAACAGACAGGTCCTAAACTTAAAACAGCTCATAACATAGCACGGTTAAATTTTGCTCGTAAACACCGTTCCTGGACATTGGCACGATGGGAGCAAGTACTCTTTTCTGATGAGTCTCGTCTCTTTTCTAAATGGTGCTGGTGGTATATCGTAGACTGGGAGAACGATGTGCACAATGTGCCATATCTGAAAGGTAAGCTTTGGAGGTGGTTCAGTTTTGTTCTGGGGGCAAGCTCTCTACGGGCTTCTGAGGTAATACCTAAGCTCAGAAGCCCGTACAAAGCTTGTCATCCTAGAAAGATGAACTGACTGCTGAATCGGACATCACTAACATTCTTGAAGAACATGTAGTGCCATACTCAGAATTTATTGGTCAAGAATTTAAATTAATGCACGATAATGCGCGCCCCCACACTGCGATGTGCATGAGAGAAGTGGGAAATCAAGTTCGGGACTGGCCAGCACGAAGTCCAGACCTTAACCCAATAGAGCCTTTATGGGACGAGCTAAATCAATACCTCTTAGTTAAGAAAGATGGCATCAGCGAAAACATTCCAAATCATTGTGAATTTTTCTTCATTTTTGATATTTGTTGTGCATTACTAAAAAAATGAAGTTGGTAAATTTTAAATACGTACGTAATTTTACTATCCATCAGTTTAGGATTAGAAGAGCATAAAACAAAAGATGATAAAATAATCTTCATACAAAATATACTCATGCTAAGTTGAGGTCAATCCAAAAATAACCATTATCAACAGACATTAACAGTCCACTGCTGGACATCGGCCTCTCCTTAGAAAAGAGGTTTTGGCCTACTATTCTACGCTGGCCAGACGGGCTGGTATAGGGTTTGTGTTCAAATTTTCCTTCTCTTTACAGTGTTGTTGTCCTGCGTAGTTTGCTCCCTTAGTCAGCTCTTACGACACCCATGGGATGAATGGGGGTGGTGACAATCCGTATTCTTAATCTGTCACATGTCTGGACATAAAATATCATAGAATATTTTATAATAAGTACTGTTACTCTACAATCAGAAATACAACCTATTCCATCCTTTAAAATACCCACTGCGCCATAGGAACTGTGTCGACAAATATTTACTGCCCACAGCCCGATGCTTCGGCCCGTAGAGGCCAGCAGAAAGTCACTGTTAAGCTATTTTTTCGTTGCATTTCACTGAGTGAATGAGGTTACCAAAAGCCCAACCTTCTCACCCTCTTCTCACTCCATTTGTATTTAATCACTCACCGTCAGGTAACCCGACTGCTCTTTGGTTCCATATACCAAAGAAAAAAGTCTTGCTAAGTACATCTTAGCCCGTGTTTCATTCTTGTGTTATAAAACAGAAGTTAGAGTTTTTTCTCCATCTCTGTTACAGACGAAAGGCAGCCCTCGAAGATGTAGCTGTGAAACCGTTGACACCAGCGCAGTTTCCTGTAGCTTTGGAAGAAGAGGTAAGTCTACTTATCGTAACAGTACAGAATCCAAGAAAAGAATTTTGAAAATCAATCGGACTTACTGAGACGGTACTTACTGCACGTGCACTGGACATGCCCCGACCAGTGTAACCTGATCTAAATGTCAAGCAATTCTGAAGTATGGAATACTTATATATCACGTAAATTCTTGGACCCTTTTGAATATAGGATCTACAATCTGGTCAATTAATTGCTTAAAATTATCATATTAGAAAAAAACCACGTATAAGCAATACCCCTTGGTATTGCTAATATGGCCGATATTATATATTGCTGATATTGCCGATATTATACCGAGGGGAATTGAAGGGGAATATAATCCTAACCATCCCTTCTCCGCCCTTCTCCTACCTTTGCCCTTTCATTAAATGGGAAAGTTAGGTGGATTATTTCTACCTACCCTTTCTACCTACACCTAACTTTCCCATTTAATTCTCAAAGTACCCAGTTGCCGGTAATAGAATGCCCCAATACACAAGTGGGACCAAAAATAGTCGGCAAAGTGAGGCCGTTTCACACACTTCTGCCTACCCTGTCTGTGATACAGCAGGGAGTGTATCTGTTTGTAATAATATTTTAAACAAAATTTATTTTGCGGAACACGGTCCAAAAATGTATTTTGGAATGGCAAGTTTAAACTTTAGTATATTTAAAGGTTCAGTATTATCTCAGTATTACTTGTGTATATTTTTTTAAACCTAGTTCTTATGGTAATCTATTTGATGGGTGTTGGTATGTATTTTTTGAGGCGAAATATGTTACTTAAACATCTTACTATAACCCATACAAATAAAAAACCTATATTTACAGCTAATCAGTTATGGTGTTATTTTTTTTCGTTTCTTTTTTGAAATCTTATGTTAGAGATAATGTAACATCTTAAATGCTTGTGTTTGTGACTTTACGTCATAAAAATGCCATTGAAACTGTCTAATTTACTAAAATAATGCACCATCTTTGTTTTCATCGTTACTTTCTATCAGGTGAGTTGGAAGAAATGAGTCTATTATACATATACGTATAAGGGTAAAATTTATAGTGTTTGTTTGACTACCACATCTTCAGTTTTCATATGATTGATTCACAAAAATGATTTTTGTTATTTAATCATTTTACCTAAAAACAAAATAGGTCCTATAGATTGTGGAGGAACGGGTGTCATGTCTCTCTAACACAGAGGGAAGATCCTCCGACCAGGCAAAGTGATCATGTCTGGCGGGCCGCGACGCAACGGTTTGGGAAGTTTTATATACCGTATGCTTATCGGCGAGAAAATTCTTCATATCGCGATACAGGATTAGCAATTCTCATTCAGGAGTTACTCCGTAGTTTGGTGTATCTTCGTCAGATGGCGCTGTAGTATGTTTGAGTAGCCATAAGATAATTACATGTGTAAAAATTACGTTAGGAGGCTGGTTTACAAAATTCAGATCTTTTTCAATCGTTGATCGTTGACGGCGTAGTGGTTTAAGCACACCTTGCCGGTTCCTCTGAGTGTTGATCAACAATTTTGTTGTTCTGAGTCTGGCTATTCTTTGTGTCTGTTTCATGAATATTTGTAAAATCCCCGCGACACAAGATAAGCGTAGTGCGGGAGGTGTCTTAAAAAAATAATAAGATTTACATTTAGATTGATTTATTTAAAAGAATTATTCTGTGTCAATCTATAACCGGCCATTTCTAAATACTTTCAGCCTTGTCAGCAGAAATCTGGAAAACATACTCCTGACGTCCGTCCAGGGGGAGGGGAGGGGTTCATTTGATCACTTATCAGCCTATGGATACAGGCAACATCGCTTATCGCATACCTGAAAGTGACTCAGGCTACTATCATGGTTACTTAACTATGTATACAAAAGAAAAAACGTCACAACGATAAATTCCTCGTTTACCTGTTGTAGCGCCCCTAGTACGATAAAATGGCACTAAAATATTCTTATTAGGACTAGATCTACTTAAAAGTTTTTGTCGACCTGCGCCTCAATTCTGCTATTTTATGTTAACCCCAAGCCACTGTCATTCCATTGACACGGTATTAAGATGCCATTGAGATGCCACTGACATCGGTCAAAATATCGGTATTCTACTAACATAAGTTCAAAGTGTCAATAGACTGTCGATATAGTAATATAGGTCATCAATGGTTATATCAACAACATTGCCATATCATGAAAATTAAATATATCATTTTCTTACAAATTAAAAATGTACCGTTTACCAAACTATTACAAAGACATCGACGACATTTGTATCGCTGACAAGTCATTGGGAGATCATTGGTCTTACATAGTTAGTAGAATAAGAAAAGTGCAAAACTATTCCGACGACATTCCATCGACAGTCTATTGATACAATATTAAAATAGCAGAATTGAGACCCTGTTTGTAAACAGGTAATCCAGCTAATCCACCGACCTTAATAGTGAAACTTTAAAATTCCGAAAACCAGGAATATGGGACAACGTTATCTCCTAAAACTATAACACGTATTTAATAACATTTATAGTTTATGAACCAGATTCAAAAGTAAAAAGTAAGTCAATAACTATTCACATGCTTTTACAAAATTCGGCAGTTTCTTATTTAGTACATGGTTCTGTTTGCTTTGAATAATTCGCAAAAGTCTACCAATTTCTACCAACTTTTTTTTTCAATTTTATCTACCAATTCCCTAAAATCTGTGTTGAGAACACATTTTTTCTTTTTTTTACGTGTGGAAACCCTCTACCGGGGTTTTGCTAACACTGACTTAATGTGAAACTGACGTCGACTTAGCAACTGTCCAGTTAAATATGTGACGCACATTTAGTACTATAATGTCAAATAATAGCACTTGACAAATATTTTTATATTCAACACATACTCTAAAGGAAATCTCTTAAGACTTATCAAAGAATACAAACCACTTGTATGTCTGTTAAATGAAAAGACGAAAAAAAAGAAACCTTCTTGAACAGACTTCACATAAGAATACCCATGCTTTTTATGAACCACAAGATTGAGAGTGAAATATAAAGAATAGAATCTTCATCATCTTTTCCAACTCTTTTCCCAATTTAAGTTTTGGAGTCGGTGCAATGTGTGTAACTGAAAAAGTTTTAGCTGGTTTCTTTAATGATCAGCCGCCAGCCTGATATCAACAGGCTGTCCTTAATAATACATGGGTCGCCGTCTACTTGACGTTAGCTCTACTTGACAATGAAACCGTTTCCAGACGAAACCGTTTTCAGACATAGGCCTCTCCTCAGAAAGGAGGTTCTGGCCCTACTACACTACGCTGGCCAGGCGGGTTGGTATGTTTTTTTCAAGTTTTCTTTCTCTTCGTTCGTCGTAGTTTACTCCATTAGTCGACTTCTGCGACACCCATAGGATGAATAGGGGTGGTGACACTCCAAACTCAAACTCTATTTAATTCATAAAAAAATGTTGAAATTAAAATTGTTTGAAATCGTCTTTTATGTATACTCTAAAGTTATAAATCAACACACAATAGCAACAATCTCTGTTTCGTCAAATAAAAAAGCAAATAAATTTAATAAAAATAAAACTTATACAAAATCTATGATATGCTTGTGCTGTTCTACAATCGCCCGTATTCCGCTCAGTATTCTTAAACCGTCACTACACAGCCAATATAAAAATTTATTCAAATTATTTTATTTATAAACTGTATTGACATTCTATCATAACAAATTTTACTTCCAACTTGAACTGAGCACGTGGTTCACAGCATTTCGCTTCAAACTATGTACGAAGAACGATTTCATTCCCAAAGGGGTAAGTGTCAGGCAGGTGGGCGGCCATAAAAGGAAAAGCCAAAACCATTTCGCAATGAAATGAAGGAGTGCGTGAAAGAGCATGTCGAGTGATCATAGAAAGTGGATGAAGTAAAACTCATTGCACCAACTCCAAATAAATTTGGGAAAAGGGTGGAAACTGATGATTATAATTATCGAAGAAAAATTGTTATTAATAAATACATTTAAGTAAACATCTATCAATATCAAATATTTATTTATATCTAATTTCAAAAATCAATTACAACTTACAAGCTACTTACTGGTTTGCTAACCTTTTTTTTTCTGACTCGAAGCGACCAAAAACCGCACGCCGTTTCGGGTACCAGTTGCAGGGGAACCAGGTGTATCCTAGGAAGGAAATCCCTGATACCCAACGTACCTCGGGCTATCTGTGGCATGTAGATGACCCTCCTATAATGTCCCCTTTGTGCTCCCGTAAGGGGCGCGCGCTCCACAGTGTGTCTCGTCAGCACCCCGGCTTGCTTCTGCTAGGGTGACAGATGGCCTCACCTACCACCCTCAGGTCTGCGCGCACTGCGACCCACGAGGACAGAGGACATTCTGCGACCTCCGGTCGTACGCGGTACCTGGCCCGATTCCGATCCTGGCAGGCCGGGAAGGTTCTAAACCTCTCCCGGTCCCGCTCCGCTATCTCCTTTGCAAGCATAACTTGCTCGAAGAAGGAGACGGCGGAGTTCTACGCACTCTATGTTACCGAGCGAGAGAATTCCCACTCCGATGGCCGCCACGAGACAAAGCCTCTGCTCCACCCATACCGGGCATTCTGCCAGCGTGTGCAGCGCCGTGTCTACGGTCCGGCCATCGCAGTGGTGGTACTCAGGCATTGGTTCCTTGCGGATAAGACACAGGTGATCGCCGAAACATCCTTTCTCGATGATCACCTCCGTCAACCGGTATGAGAGGGTTCCGGGATGCCTCTCGAGCCAATCCTCCATAACGCGTGTTACCGCCGCGATGACGGCGTGCCTAACTGGTTGTTAACACTATCATTTAATAATCAACTGAAGAAAAGCCATCTTTATTTCGACCACAATTCTGTGATGCAATTACCTCCGATCCTTATCACAAATAGTACCATAAACTTAGAATAAATTAATAAATGCAAAAAGTACATACCAACATCTATTTGTTACACTTTCGCGTCAATACTACTCAACCGGCGTCCACTAATTTTTTTAAGCACGTTCTCAGGAATCCAAAAACC